GGTAATCGGCCCCTCCACTGAAATCCTGAAACACAAAAGCCAGTCAGNTCAGCTAATTTCACTGCCATATTGGTGTCTCAATAATGAATTCCCTCAAAGCATTGACAGCTATGAAAATGAGAAAATAATATTATTAAAAATGATCTCAAACAAAAAAAAAACAAAAACAAAAGGAAATTACCTGGGAATATTCAGTCTTTGTTCCTTCTAAAGCATGCAGTCACAACGCTCTTCCGAGTTGGCCTGACAGGTTGTCCGTATACAGAAATGCACCCCTCCAATTCAACTGCCGACAAAAACTGCAACACAAAATGAAAATGAGAATTAGACAATGATAATATTAAAAATGATCTCAAACAAATACAAAAGGAAATCACCTGAGAATATTCACTGGTCTCCTTCCTTCTATTGGATGCGGTCACATGAATCTTCCGAGTTGCTTTGTGGGGGTAGTCTCACAAGTTGTCGGTAGACAGTAATTCGCTCCTCAATTTTGACTGCCGGCTTAAACTGTAACACAAAGTACATGTAACATGAGAAACCCTCCCAACAAGTATGAATGATTTTCACCATTTCTTGTTGGAGCAGCTATTTCCAGGCAGTCTCAAATTAACTTCAGAAGAATTCCTAACAACTTGTGAGTGATTATATTCTCATTGAAAAACAAAATGTCTCCTCACTCATATATCTCGAGTTCAAATAGAACTGGACGATTTACATTCAGAGAGAAATAACACAATCACCCAGATCATTCTCTGAAAAACGAAACATACCTCATCCCTGATCCGTTGTCCACGGGCCTCCACCTCAGCTTCCGTAGGACCACAGACATCTTTCATCCAATGACACAAGGCTTCCCTCTTAGTCCTCAGACCACCATTCGACCCTCTTCTTCAACACTTCTCATTCCAGTCTCAAGCTCCAGGGAGTAGAACGTTTCCTTCCTATTTGATGTAACCAGAGAAAACAAATTAATTAAATATAAGAGTACCTCATATTCTTCTTCAAAATATTATCCAGCTCAGATTAGAAACAGTATTACTTATCAAGTACATTAATTCAAATATAGAAGACAGCTGTATATATAAAGGAGGATTC